TCGCAAATAGTTTTTTCTGTCTTTCCTCACTATGCACTTTCCCCCAGTGTCGTAAATATGCTTTGCTGTGCTCGCACACTATGTACTCTTCCCCCAGTGTTGAGAGGATGCCTTGCTGTGCTCCCACACTATGTACGTGTTTACCCTTGGCGGAAGTATGCCTTGCTGTCAACCCACACTAGGTACTTTTCCTCCTGTGTCAAGAATATGCGTTATTGTGCTTCCACACTATGTTCTTTTCCCCAAGTGTCGAACATCCACTTTGCTGTTCTCCCACACAATGTACTTTTCCAGGTGTCAGAAATATGCCTTGCTGTCCCCAAGTGTTGGAAATATGTCTTATATGCCTTTCTGTCATCCCACACTATGTACTTTTATCCCCGTGTTGGAAATATGCAGTCATGTGCTCCCATATTATGTACTTTTCCACCAGTGTCGGAAATAAGCCTTGCTGTTGCTGGCACACTATATACTTTTCCCCACGTGTCGGAAATATGCTTTGCTTTGCACCCACACCATGTACTTGTTTCCCATTGACCAAAGTATGCCTTGCTGTGTTTCCACGCCATGTGCTTGTCCACAATTTTCGAAAATCTGCCTTGCTGTCCTCCCACACAAATGTACTTTCCTCCAAGTGTCGGCAATCTTCCTTGTTGTCCTCCTACACTATGTACCTTTCCCCCAGTGTCGGAAATATTTTTGCTGCGCCTCCACACTATTTACTTTTCCACAATTGTAGAAAAACTACCTTTCTGTGCTCCCACACTACGCACCTTTATGCCAGTGTCGGAAATATGCCTTAATCTGCTAACCACTATGTATTTTCTCCTAGTGTCGGAAACGTGCCTTACTCTGTATGTATTTTCCTCTAGTGCCGGAATTATGCCTTGCTGTCGTCCACACGTTGTACGTTCCCCCTAGTGTCGGAAATATGCCTTGCTTACTTGCTTGCTCCCACACTATGTAACTTTATGCCAGTGTCGGGAATATACCTTACTCTGCTAACCACTATGTATTTTCCTCTAGTGCCGGAATTATGCCTTGCTGTCGTCCACACGTTGTACGTTCCCCCTAATGTCGGAAATATGCCTTGCTTACTTGCTTACTCCCACACTATGTACCTTTATGCCAGTGTCGGAAATATGCCTTACTCGGCTAACCACTATGTATTTTCCCCAGTGTCGGAAATATGCCTAAGCCCTTTGCTGTGTTCCAACAGTAAATACTTAACAATTGTCGATAATTCTTTTCTGTTCTTCCTCACTATGTACTTTTCCCCCAGTGACAGAAGTATGCCTTGCTATGATCCCACACTATGAACTTTTCCACTATTAAACTATTGAATTAATTCTAGAGAATAGAAACAAAAAACTTTCAAGTTTGTAATTTTGTAATTAAATTTACTAATTCATTTCTATGTTTTGTAACCAGATAAAAAAAGAAAGCGAATACAATCAGATTCAGATGTGAAGTACAAGAGACGCTGTATAGGTACTATACATATTAATTACTTAACTTGCATAACAACAACCCATATTGAATGTTGGCGTCAGCTCTGACAACTTTACACCTTTCTTATTTAAGGTTATGTATTCAGGTCTGGCCGCCTTGTTTCCACTTAAAATCCTCACGCCAGCTCTGTCAGTCTTGTTTCCCAGTCAAGGCTGTGATGTCTCATTTTGGCCCAGTTCATTTGTTTTCATTTGTGACAAGTTGCAATGTGTAACATGACAAAATGAGAGTCAAGGAAATAAACAAATTCAAATATTTATTAATCATGTCATCAAAACTAAAAATAAAAAAGCATACAGCATGTGAATTATGTCAAATCAACATTTTCTAAATCGTAAGTAATAATGTAAAATAGTTAGCATATTTTCATTTTGGACTTGGTTAGTCACATTTTTGCTGCTCTAGGGCGTACAAAATTATTGATTATTATGTTTTGCATCTCAGATTCCTCAGAAGGTATTTTTGCTCTTAAGAACATGGTAAACATATGAATGTTATAGAACTGTCTTTGGAAGTGAAAATGTGAAAAAGCGGTTTGAATTTTTTTCTTTGTGCAGTTAGTCAGTTTCAATATCCAGAACTCTTATGTCCCACAATCCTCCCTCTTTTGTCTTTAGATCCACCAGGATGACTCGAGTCACTTCCAAACTTTCATTCATGTGAAATGTTAAATATCAAGAAAATAATGTAATATTTAGGTTATTATTAAATTGACAGTAGAACTATCAAGCATTGTTGGTTTGTTTATATTGATCTTGTTTTTGTTTCAGACATACCTGTTCTTGTTAATCTGGACAATGCTTCAATTAAAGACAAAATGCTCTACCGGG